CCCCCGTCTGCCACCCCCCATTACCCACCTGTTAGGCAGAACTTGTGAGCCTCACCCGTGAAGAGTGAGTGTTAACCATTGACATCCCTACTGAGGAGGGTGGTGGGACATGTAGCTTACCTAAGTGCTACTTAAAACCTTGTCAGCATATGGGGCAAGCTGGTCCTCATCAGTTCGGCACGGGGCCCCAGGCCAGCAGAGAATTGAAGGGGTTAGCTTACGAAAGAGGCAGCTGCACTCCAGGTTTTTTTTGTTTGTTTGTTACGGTTGTGGCTGCATCCGTTGTTGTGTAGGAGCCGCCGTGTTAGGGGGCCAGTTGGGCTTGGCATCTCATGGGGGATGAGATGTAGGGGAACCTTGTAAATGTTCACATGTAAATATGAACTTTATGGTTTTGAAAGGTCCTCAGCAAAACAACATAGATCATAATGCTGGGAATGAAATGATGGGTCTTGCCCATTGTCTTCAGAGTTGGTATAATGTGGGGCTAGGTTGACAGTCCACACAGTCTGAAATGTTCATTTATCTTAAATCTTATTGCAAGTTTCTGCAAACTAGTTTTAAGCTCCAGTATTTGAAGAGGGGTCGTGAAATGAAATTATCATACTTTATTAGTAGTAGCTTCAATTCTACAAAGTACACTTTCAGTACCACAGCAGTTTTTTGCGTCTTTGCTGGAAGGTTGTGACTTACACTATTAAGCTCTGCACCATAATATGAGCTCATCTTAAGTGCTGACACTGCAGTGCAGTCATGGGGTGGTGTGTTCTAAGAATTATTCTTTGCTTGTGATATCAAAATCAGCTTTTACCTGCTTTGTGTGGACCTCTCATGGAACTAAGTGAGTGTCTGATGCTGCCCCTTGGATGTGAAAGAGAACTTTACCATTGGCATGGCTGGCATTACCTTTGTCAGTAATGCGGGTCAGTAAAGGTTCTAATAGCCAAAAGTGTGGGCTTGCTGTCGCCGAACTACCAAAGAGTAGCTCATTGCTTTGCAAGGCTTTTTATTAAAGTTCCCTATTCTATTTCTTTTCTAAATATTTCAAACCAAACTCAGAACAGATTATCTAAAGTGTAGGGCTGTTTACATAATCACTAGGGATGTTAAAAAGTGGGTGATTTGGTAACTGTTTAACTACTAAACATTTCAGTGGTTACATGAGGGATAGCAGCCAGCTCCTTGGAAGCTGGTAGATATTGCGAGCTGTCTTAAAAAACCACCTGCCACCCCCATTCCTGGAGAGCTGGACCATAGAAATATTTTTGTACTGCACACATTTTATGTAAAAGTTAGTCTTAGCACAAATCCAGTAAATGTGATCTCAGTGTAACTCACACTGCCTTTTTCTTTACATGGCAACCACACAGTTCTTACAAAAACAGGACTGTGTAGCACTATCAAGACTAACAAGATGGTTTAATAGGTGATGAGCTTTCGTGGGCCAGACCCTCTTCCTCAGATCAAATAGTGGAAGAAAACTGTCACAACCATATATACCAAAGGATACAATTTTTAAAAATGAACACACATGAAAAGGACAAATCCAATTTCAGAACAGAAGGGGGATGGAGGAGGGAAGGAGAGGAAGTAAATGTCTGTGTGCTAATGACATTAGCTCACAGACATTTATCTCCTCCCCTTCCCCTCCCCATCTCCCTTCTGTTCTGAAATTTGATTTGTCCTTTTCATGTGTGTTCATTTTTTAAAATTGTATCCTTTGGTATATATGGTTGTGACAGTTTTCTTCCACTATTTGATCTGAGGAAGTGGGTCTGGCCCACGAAAGCTCATCATCTATTAAACCATCTTGTTAGTCTTTAAAGTGCTACACAGTCCTGTTTTTTGTTTCAGCTGCACCAGACTAACACAGCTACATTTCTACCACTATTCTACACACAGTTCTTAGTTACTGCTCAAGATATGATCAGCTGCTAAATAGTAGTAATGCAGATCATTACTGAAGCTCCATTAAACCATCAGAACTTGACGAGAAAATTGTAGAACAGTGATCTCCAGAAATGCGAGAGATTGTGTCTGACCACTGTCTGAAGCTTTTATGCTGCAAAAATGTGTATATATGCTTAACTAGATTGATATGAGTAGTCTTACTCAAATTAAAAATGTGTAAGTCTTTGAAGACTTAGGGCATAGTCGCTTATGTATTTTTTTTCCAAATATTTAAGTAAGCTTATTTTTTAATGAAAGGCATGTGGACTAATTATGTCCTTAGAGAGCCAATGTTAAAGGATAAAGCCAAACAGTGCTGACTTTTCCAGGTCCTGGACTCTTGACCCGGATGCTTCTCAATGCAGGTGCCCGAGTGGTAGCTCTAGAGAGTGACAGAGCTTTCCTTCCAGATTTACAGGTATGTTTTTTCTAAGGGTATCTGACACTTTGCAGTGAGATAGCAAAATGAGAAATTAACTTAAAATCACACATCTATTTGATTTTTTTTTTTTTTTTTGCCTGTTACCAGTAACACATAAGATAGAGATTATATTACAGATGATAGGGAAAAATATTTTTAATTTGTTTACACATTTGAGAACATTTTTACTGGCTGCACACGAGAGGGAGAAAGTTTATCCTGTTTGTGTAGGATTTTAAGTTGAGGTCCTTTTAAATAGGGATATACAAGATTTGCCGCTAAGTCACCTAAATGATGCTCACTGTTTTAAGCACAGTGTTTTCATGTAGCCTTCAGAAGCTTCTACAAATATTCATAACTATTTTCAGTGCTTATTTTGCCCAATTAAACTTTTGTCCTGGATCCTGTGGTTGACTCCATGCATGTAGACTCTTGGGCCCATGATTTTAGTGGGGCTCTGCATGGGCCTAGTGGTCTGCAGATTTGGAGCCTTTTTTGCTGTTTCAGAGAGACTAGGGTTTGGGAGTTACAACTTCTGCCTGGCTGTGTCTACACTGGCGCGATCTTGCACCAGAGATATTCAAATGAGGCTAAGCGTGGAATATCACTGAGCCTCATTTGCATATCTAATGAGCCGCCATTTTGCGGAAGAGGCTCTTGTGCTAGAAGGAGCTGTCTATACTGCCTTTTCTTGCACAAGAAGGGGCAGTGTAGACAGCTTCTTCTAGTGCAAGAGCCTCTTCCGCAAAAATGGCGGCTCATTAGGTATGCAAATAAGGCTCGGCGATATTCCACGCTTAGCCTCATTTGCATATCTCTGGCGCAAGATTGTGCCAGTGTAGACGTAGCCACTGTGTGTTCATTTTTAATTGTACTTTTTCATCTAGTTGTAAAGAGACTTAATTTACAATTACAAATTGATATGGAATCTTCAGATGTATATGGCTAGTTGAACTTAAAAAAAAAAAAGTTACCAAAAATAATATAAGCTTATTAGTGCAGTGTAAAGTTCTAGTAAAGCAAAATATGTCAAAATACATCGGTCTTACATCAAAAGTGATTCAGCATGCATCACTTCAACAGCTATCTCTGAGAAATATTGTTTTAATTTTTAAGTAGTGTTTACATAATCTGTTTGTTTTAAAGATAATTCATTGAGAGTTGTTTGTTTTAGGATGGAAAAATAGCTAGGATGTGTCCAAGTTATTGATACTAAATACTTAAAATTTGACTTCACCATTGCTTTCAGTCTCTAGAGAACAGCCTACATGGACAATTAGAAGTAGTTTATTGTGACTTCTTCAGATTGGATCCTTTGGGGTGTGGATCTATGAAACCACCTGCTATGTACTCTGAGAAACTTTTTGAAAATTTGGGCATCTTGGCAGTTCCTTGGACAGCAGGTAAATTGAAAATCAGCCAGTGTTGGGGGAAGGAATTGAGGCCTCAGAGGCAGTTTGGCAGCTGCTTAAGGGCTTTATTTAATTTTGTATAAAGGAAGTACATCTCCCTTCCTCTTTAATACAGTCAAAGATGCTACTTCTCCAGTAGTTAATCCTCAAATTTACTTAAGTAGTCTGGCATTTTAGTAAGAGGTAAAACAGTGTATGGTGGGATATGTAGTCTCAGTTGTTTGCACCTCCTGAAGGAAGATTCAGACAGAAACTGCGTTCAGCGGTAGGTTGTACTTTAAGACACACTTGAGCAACAACAGGATCTGTAAATACATTCATGTTAAAATAAAACTTGCCATTGGGTTTGTAACTTACATATTGGTGTTGATGAGGTTGTGCAGTTATATTTGAAAATTCAAAGATACCTTTGCTCATTTTCAAAACAGATGTTCCTGTAAAAATTGTTGGATTCCTCCCCCAAAAAAAGGAAAGAAATTTTCTTTGGAAGCTTATCATTGGCATGTATGAACGCAGTTCCATATACAGATATGGAAGAATAGAGCTGAACATGTTTGTTAGTGAAAAAGAGTACAAGGTATGTTTATGTACAAGAAACTTCATTTCACTGGTTAATAAAGAAAGGCTGATGCTAGAACATTCTGGGTAAAGGCATTTTGTCCCTATTGCTTTACATTTGTTTTATTTATTTATTTATTTATTTATTTATGTATTTATGTATTTATGTATTTAATGTAAACATATTTTTCTAACAAAATGGAGGGACTGTGTCTCTGCTACTTGCTTCTCTTTCTGAAGGAATGTTTGTAATAAGTTTGTTTTAAAGGAAATGAGTGTCACAAGTTAGTGTTCTTTAGTCAGTAGAGGCGGTATATCAAACACATGTTGATAAGTGATAAAAAAGCAGCACTTCTATTATATTTTTTATGTAGTAACAGTAGTTTCCAGATGTTTTCATCCTGTTAGTCCCTTTGGGATCACCTCTGTTGATGTAGTTTTGCCCTTCTTCTCCCCCCCCCCCACAATCTTACCACTCAACTTCTGGGGTGGGGATGGGGAAGTGGGCAACTGGGGACCTGGGAGGTCAGCCTGGCAGATCATTTTATTTGGTCTGCCACACTGCATTCTGGAAGAGAGGGATCCAGTGAAATCCCTTTTCTCCCAAGGTGCTAGCAATTGCCTACAGTTGTATAGGTCATAGGGCAGGAGCTGGAGAGCATGGCCTTGTAACCACTCAACTTCTGGGGTGGGGATGGGGAAGTGGGCAACTGGGGACCTGGGAGGTCAGCCTGGCAGATCATTTTATTTGGTCTGCCACACTGCATTCTGGAAGAGAGGGATCCAGTGAAATCCCTTTTCTCCCAAGGTGCTAGCAATTGCCTACAGTTGTATAGGTCATAGGGCAGGAGCTGGAGAGCATGGCCTTGTACCTTTTAAGCTGTAATTCTGTATTAAATCTGTACAGCTGCTGCCAGAGTGGCCTGGACTATCGCTCTGATTGCGTGGTAGCATTGCTGCTGAAATTTGACCTGGCTGCCCCTCTTTACAATCAGAGGTGCGGCCTAGCCAAATGGTGTTGCAACTCAGCACACAGGGAGTCTGTTCCTGTATGGCAGAGTGCAGGGGAATCCCTCAGAATTCAGCTACTGGTGGCACCCGTTTATGTGGTTTGTGGGTGAGAGAGAGAGGAGTCCATGGCTGAGGGAGATGTAATGCCCTTGAAGTGGGGGTGACACAAGCGCAGACTGTCACAGGTCTCTGGCAAGTTGGGAGGACATCAGAATTTGCTTGCCCTCCCAAGAAATATCTGAATTGGTACCAAAGCTCATGCTCCTCCAGGAAGCATCAATTTTCATATCCTTTTTTAAAAATAAAATCCACTAAATCTTGATATATCAGGTATTACGATTTCTAGGTGTACCTATGTAATCCAGTTTATCCAGCCCATTTCTTTTAGTATCACCATTATGGTATTACTTCCTTACACCAATTTTCCATTTGCTTCATGTAATTTCTGTAACCCGTCCTCTGAAAGTGCTCCTCTCCCCCTGCTAAAAGCTGAATGCCTGTCTTGGGTAAATATTGGAATCCTCTTCTAGGCAGGGATACATCTAGCTCCATTTTTTCAATTGATCATTGTGGCAAATTGTTTTGTAACTATACTTTAAAAATGAAATCACTCCATAATAGATGCACACTTCTGTCTTTGCTCAGCTCAGGAATAACCAAAATGTATTTTTCCTTTCTGGAAGTTGAGTATTTAATTGAATTGCCAGTCGTCTTAGGAAAGTTCCTCAGAAAAGCTGTTTGGCATTCATCTAATCCATCATCTGGAGCTGTTTTAACGAATTGGCTGTGATACTCTCTTTCTTAGGAATCTTACTAACTTTACTATAAAAATTACATTTATGCAATAATGTAACATCTGAAATTTGGGTGATTCTTTGGCCTCTTAGGGTATGTCTACACTACCCCCCTCGTTCGAACTGGGGGGGGGGTAATGTAGTCATACGGAGTTGCAAATGAAGCCCGGGATTTGAATTTCCTGGGCTTCATTTGCTTAAAGCCGGCCGGCACCATTTTTAAATGCCGGCTAGGTCGGACCCCGTGCCGCGCGGCACGGACTAGCTAGTTCGGATTAGTCTTCCTAATCCGAACTAGCTAGTCCGTGCCGCGTGTAGCCGCGCGGCACGGGGTCCGACCTCGCCGGCATTTAA